GGTTAATGTCATGTATTGAACCATACACTGAGCACTCACCAGGTTGCGTGCAAAGGCATGTTTCTGCTACAACTGCTCAAGCTTACTGATGCTTGAGCCCAGACTAATCTTAAAGGGACTATGGTTAGGGATGTAATGGGATTTACTGTACATTGATTCTAAAGCCTGCTATAGCAGCGACTGACTGTGGCCTTTGGCTCCACCTGCCACAACATTGATGTATCACCCCTGACTGACAGATATTGTAGGTTATAAAGTAATCAGGCTAAAACACAGTAGATGGACCATCTGAACATCACTAAACATGTGATATCAATTGAGCCGTTCTGTTCTTAGTATGAAAACTGGTGTAATAATATGCGGATCTGCTCCTAAGTATATAAAAAAAAATAATAATAATGTGATTAGTTCACTCAAGTTTATTTGCATCATACTGGCCACACCTTTTTGTCTCTATTGATTTCTATTCTGTTCTTCAAAGACTGAAAACGTTTTTTTAAATGTATTTTTTTGTATTTAATTTATTTAAAGGCCGGTTGACTGAACATCACCCTGTGTTAATTTCAACACAGAGTCACTGACTCAACCTCAATTTGGATCCTCCTCTTGGGTTCGTCCTGACTTCTCAAGGTCATCACCTGGCTGATGGTCTGTTCAACACTACAGCCTGTTGTCTCTCTGGCTCATCTGGGAGGCCTTGCCGATCTCCACATTCTGGTTGGGGATGGGCACCATGGTTGGCTTGTTGTTCTTGGAGAAGGCGTACTTGTGGTACTGCATGATGGAGTTGTAGTTGTAGCCGGTTCCCTGGTTCAGAGTGGCAATCTTCCTGAAGTTGTGCTCCATGCCAGACTGGACATTCTCCAGGAGGACGCAGATGTGGTTGTCATGGTCGTTGCGGGTCTGCTCGTGGTTGAAGCTCAGGGCGTGCAAGCAGCTCATGCTGGGTGGTGCCATGATAGACACAGCCCGGAACGTGCCAGAGACACGTCTAGGCATTGGCGCGGCAACCAAAGTAGGAGTAGCACCCTTTGAGGGATGGACAGGTAGTCTCTGTGGTTGGTGCGCTTGACGAAGTTGATGCAGGAGAAGCTGGCAAAAGACTGCAGACCACGCTCGATGATGGACCTCTCTCGGGATGGAGTACCCATTGGCGATGGTGTAGGGCATGTAAACCTTGCTGTCGCTGGACTTGGGCCACATGCAGCCAAAAGGTGTGCAGGGGTCAGCGTCCCACTCAGCGTCGTTGTTGTAGGCGATGTCACCCACCACCATGGGCTCGCTGTGGATACGGACAACGTCCCTGTTGGCCTTCTCCAGCAGCAGCAGAGACAGAGAGCTCCTCTTCCTCTGCCCAGGCGGCCGCCACAAGCAGGGCCAGAAGGCCCAGAGTGAACTTTAAGGCAGACATGTCATCAAACAACCTTTAGGGGAGTGAGGTGAAGTTTGTTTAGTGGTCTAGACACTGCACCTTATATAGTGCAATCTACAGTGGAAAACTGTCCACGGCATGTGGCCCAAGTCCAGCGACAGCAAGGTGTCACGACTTCCTCCGAAGCTGCCTCCCCTCCTTGTTCGGGCAGGCTTCGGCGTTCATCGTCACCGGCCTTCTAGCCACTGCCGCTCCATATCTCATCATTCCATTTGTCTTGTCTTGTCAATTACACACACCTGGTTCATATTCCCCTCATTAGTATGTGTTTAAGTGTTCCCTCTGCCCCCTTGTCCTTGTGGGTGATTGTTCATTGTGAGGATTAGTAGCTCGGTTGAGCTCAGTATTTTGTATTGCCGGTGTATTTTCCCCATGTGCATGTTCGTTCCAGTGCGCCTGTTTTGCACACTGGACTGGTTATGCTGGATTACGGAATAAACTCTGTATACTGTGATTTACCCTCCTGCGCCTGACTCCTTCAAATCATGCATCACACAAGGTCTACGTGCCCTAAGCGAGATTTGGTTGTCCCCCCCCCCCCCCATTTTAGTGGCCCCACTCTTGATGGCAGCGAGAACATTTAGCAATTTTATAACACATTTCCTGCAATTCTACACATTTTGCCATGACTTATGCCATGTTAATGATATATGAGTGATAGTGACTACCAAAATAAATGGGGGCCCCCTAGAGTTCAGGGCCCCTGGGCATGTGTCCTGCGTGCCCGGTCAGTATTTGGCCTTGATTACTACAACTTTAGATGGCTGGCTAGAGTAATTTACCAATCTAAAAATGGTTAGCTGACATGGCTGACAAAACAAGAGAAAAACTGCTGATGCACAACCAAATGTCAGAACTTGCACCTTGTGTATTCTACTTTTCTAATTCTCAACAGTAAGCTGAGACTCCGACTGAGTAAAAAATAAATAATCATTAAAATAAAAAATACCTTTTTTCTTTTTGGGGGGGGGGGGGGGGGGGGGGTCGGGGCCCTAAGCGACTGCTTATGTCGCTTATGCCTGGAGCCGGCCCTGCCAACATCTGGAAACCACCCTGAAGCCAATGTCTATCATGATTTAACTCACAGAAGACAAGCATTGCACTCCAAGTCCTTCCTGTTGCAGATCTTTATTTCATGAAGACGTTCCCACTCTCACCCCAGGGTGATATAATATGCAGGCATGTGAACTACAGTCAAGCACACCATTGTCTGGAGAGTAAGTGAGCTGGTATGGTTTAAATGGTTTGTACATTATCCTACATGCTCCCTCTTTGAGCCTACTTTCTCTCTCTCTCTCTCTCTCTCTCTCTCTCTCTCTCTCTCTCTCTCTCACTCTCTCCAACACAGCTCTATATCCTGTTGGATTCAACTCCTTCCATGTACCATGTCACCAGTGCACAGTCTCAAGTCCCATTTGCCACACATGAGCTCCCCCAGCACACAAGAGTAGAGTTCTTCATAAGGGACTATGGGAAGGAAGCAGGGAGCACTCTCCAGCCCAACTTAAATCACACAGACACATGGTGGTGGAACCCTCACAAAATGACTCCTTCATTCATTCATCCACTCTGTGGGTTTCCTTTCTCTTTTTAAAAATTCCATATGCAAGCCTTCCTAAGTGCATTCTACAAAGGATTTTTCTTTTTTCTGGGAAGTCAGATTCCATGTTTTATAAGTCAGTGTGATAACCTTTTGAGGATAAAGCTTAATCTGAAATCTGCTTTACAGATGTTTGTGTTCATCTACTTTGCAGTTGCTTCATTCATTAATGCCATGTGTGTTGTGAGCTAGAGAGAGAGAGAGAGAGTGAGAGAGAGAGAGAGAGAGAGAGAGAGAGAGAGAGAGAGTATGTTATTTACACCCTTTGCATAACATTTAGAACATTTGTGTGTTTGATTATTTTTTTTAAAGTCAAGAACAAGAAACATGGGAGCCAATTAAAATTGGTTTCAGATATTTTAATCACATCAAAGGCCTCAGTTTTCAGTCAGTTACATAAATGACTGACAAATGAGGTGAAAGCCAAGTTCTCATCAGTGAATATAAACTAGCAATTACATTATAATAAAAAACTATATAGATCCCATATGACAACCACATCAATTGAATTAAGCTAAAATGATTCGTCATGGACCAAATTAGTCTCTCACCGCTCCCTCCAACCCGTCTCTTTGTACAGTATATAGCCTTACATAAAGATTAACCTGTGAACACAAAAGGGCAATACATTTACTTAAAATGTACGTATAGACTACAGAAAATGTCATAGCATCTGGCAGCGACGTAATGCGATAAAATGTGATCGCTAACTGAACTCGACTGTTTGGAATTGTCCTACATTCGCTGCGTCAAAGACGTATAGGGCCTACAGCCTAGTCCCGGTTCAAACTATTTGGTCATTTTAAAACCATCATAATACCATACAGCACGCACTTATTTATGGGCTAGTAAACAAAAGAAGTCATTACTGTACAACATTAAAACTTCTGGTATCTCCTGTGAATGAAACAACCTAGAATAAATGCCAAACGCACCATTCAAACCAAGTTGAGGAGATAATATATCCAGCAATAGTTGACTGATTAAAGGTGGTTTTGCGAATCCAAAACGATTCCAGGTAAATGTCCAAGGATATTTCAGTGGCAATATATTTTTCCTAAATGCTTGCTCCAGATATCCTTTCCATTTCGGACAGCGCATCAGGCACTCGACAGTAAAAATCTCCCTGTTACATAGAGATTTGTAGTGTGGTGCTTCGCGTGAGATCCCTCCCCTTGTGCTGCTCATAATGTGTGTGTGTGTAAATGTGTGTGCGCGCGCGCAGTCTGTTTGTGAGGCAGTTGCGTGCGAAGAGCTCGACATGTAATTCAGAGGAATCTGCCACCTGAAACGCGAGGAAGTGAAGGCGACTCAATTCGGTATAAAGCATCAACCACATCTGCCTCGAGCTTTGTAAACATCAGTTCAGAGCTCTGGTAGACGTTTGCTGTATTTTCTCGAGGAATTATTATTGTTCACGAAGGAAGTGCCATCTATAATAGACCCATTCAATTTGAATGACCTATCTAACATTATACTGGAATTAAGTAATATTGACAGACCTTCTTGGTAAGTGTTTTGATTTGATGTTTTATCCCTTTTGTTCCAAGTAGCCTATTTTAAAATGCCATTCAACGTTTTATTCGGCTTCATAATGTATGTATTTGATTCGAATAATGTTAGTGAATGTTGGCAGCATGGCTTTGACTTGTCTATGCATTTGGCAGCTTTCATCATATTTAAGTTTCACCAGTGTAAACAAAATATTGACAGTCTTTATAACCGTTTAGGACATAATTATGCCTTTATTCCTATGAATTTTCTTATTGATTATTTTAATGGGAATAGTCGGTCTCAACTCTCAACGTAGCCTAGTTAAAAAATGACTCGATCTTGATAGCATCACTAGACTTACATGAACTACTTTAACATAATTTACTTTATCGAGTTCATTAGCCTGTTCATTAAACTTTTTGTAGCCTATGTCATATGTGGGACGCTGAAAAGTTTTCTCCATCTTCTCTGCAGCGCACCTGTTACCTTAACGGAGCGCAAGACGATGATACCACCGGGAGACTGCATGTATGCGGGCAGGAAAAGAAGGAAGCCCGTTCAAAAACAGTTAAGAATCACATGTTTCTCCGTAATATTCTAACATTGATATTTGACGCATGGTGACATTTGTTTTATGGATTTTATGTGTATTTTTCTCCTACTTCTGATGTTTGGAGAAACTTTTTTGATGTTGGGATAGCCTACATGACAGCCGAATAGTAAAATGTAGTTTATTATTTGTGTGATATTTTCGTTTTTCAGAAGCATGCAGATACATTAGCTACTGTGTTTCACCAAACACTGGACATTTTTTTTTAACAAAATGAGTAAGATTTGCAAAAGTTTGGACAAATTTAAGATGTTATAGATTTGCTGTTGTCATATTTATGCGATTACATATCGAATATTCACATGGCCTTGGGTTGAATTATAAATAATAGGGATGATCAGTTTTGGATTAATTCTGTGAAGATTACTTTTGATATTCAGGTTCTTATTCTTATGAGCATATTATTAGTAATATCAGTGTCATTAGAAGTTTTTTTGTGACAGCAGGCAGGAGTCATTTGCAGATTATTGTGTTTGCTTGTGGTTCCAGACTAGATTTTTTCAAAGGAGAGGCAAGGTTAAAATGACTGATAGGAAACCTGATGGTTTCAAATGTTAGCCATAGAAAAAGACTTTATAGGCTAACCAAGCTAGCTGTCTGCTACTGTAGCACTTAACAGTTTAAATGTTGAATCCAACCACAGGGTTCAGTGAGCTACAATTTATGTCAAATTTGAGAACATTATATATATATATATATATATATATATATGAAATTAATCTCAATCAATGATCTACATTGCTTTAATAGTATGACAGTTGACACAACACATTTCAGTTGAACATCCCATTTGGACTAGTAAACAGCAGTGGCGTGACTGGTTTAATTGAAGCTCTGGGTTTGCGTGCAAGAGAGTCAGGGGGTAGCTAGCTGACAGAAATCAGACTCATAAGGATGCAGCACTGTAAAAAGAAAAAGATGTTGATTCAACGTACAATTGTAAGGCAACCAGATGCAAAATAATTGTGAGTTTGCTCAACAAAACAACCAGCTGTAGTAGGATTGTGAGTTTGCTCAACAACATTTTTGTTGCGCAAACTCACAATCCTATTGCAGCTGGTTGCCTTACAATTGTACATTGAACCAACATCTTTTTGTCCTTTTTTTTTTTTTTTACAGTCAAGTCTCTTTTGAACAGAGAGGGAGTTCAGCTGACATGGCCTCTACCTTCTCTTCCCGTTGACCAGGACAGATGCAGGGAGGAGATAGAGGTTTCAGCCAGGGGACAGGGGCAGTAGTAGGGGCACCATGCAGTGGAGATCAGAGACAGGCACCACCGAGATGGTTTGGGGTGGTGATTTGAGTCACTGGACAGGCACAGGGGGTGCTTTAGGCCATCAACCCATCTGGACAGGTTCTCTTAAGGGTCGCACGCATCGCACCAAATGTGGATCTCCCGTTTGTCAACCGATCGTTTAGAGTGCTGTTGACGTCTGACTGATGTCATTTTCGCACGATTCTGCATGTAAAATCGGTTTGCACTCGGTCCGCTAGCACTCTTGGCAGGCAAACTTTATTGGTGTGTTCAAGCCCTTAGAGGTAGTATTGATTGGTGGCTGTTGATTGTCCGACACTGGCAATGCTGTTACCCTGTGTGTGTGTGTGTGTGTGTGTGTGTGTGTGTGTGTGTGTGTGTGTGTATGCGTGTATGCGTGCGTGTGTGTGTGTGTGTGTGTGTATGCAATTGCCGAATGAAAAATGTCTGTATATTGACCTCACATATTGCATGTTTCACTATATCAATGAGTCATCAAAAATGGCTTTAATAAAACTCTTCAAAGAATATAAGTATATTTTAATGATTTACAAAATGATTCCCTGTTTATATTCTGTTGCTGTGTCAACGACCCCTACAACCGTAACTCTTGACCGTACTGCACCCAAAAGCATAGTACATCTCTCTGTTAACAGTTGAGCCTGACAGATATTTTAGAATCAAACCGCTACCAACCCGTCACAATAACAGACACAAAAATATGCCCGTTGTGTTTTCACCAGGAAACCAGCCACGGTGAGTGAGAAGTCCAACCCGTCCAAAAGGCATCGGGACCGCCTGAACGCGGAGCTGGACCGACTAGCCAGTATGCTGCCCTTCTCCCCAGACATCATCTCCAAGCTGGATAAACTGTCTGTGCTGCGCCTCAGTGTCAGCTACCTGCGGGTCAAGAGCTTCTTCACAAGTAAGAAGACACTTTTTCCTCCCCCAATGTCTTGTAGGGAGTAGAGACTCTCACTACAGAAACTACAGTACACTACACAACAAGACACAGAACATCACAGATCAGGTGAACTACACTACACTACACTACACTACACTGCAAGTGTATGTAGTCGACTGCAACATGTAGATCTCAGTCTGTGTGTATGACTGGAGATACATTCAGGAGTACATTCAGGATAACGCTTCTCTTTTTAGGGACAGACATGAAGTCAGTGAACTCAGTTCTTGGGCACAGTGTGACGAACTGAGAATATATCCTCAGTCTTTTCAGTAGCAGCCGGGAGCTTGTGTGATTGCCTAGACCTACAGTTTAAATATCCTGTTCAAGGTCTCACACTTGTTACACAAACTGTGTGATACACATGGTTAGTCAACATATCCTCAGGCATAGTTTAAGAACATTCTGATTGTAAGAAAAATTCTAAGTAAATTGTCATTTAGCACACAAGTGCATTTGAACAGGTTATTTGATTTGCAATATTTGACATTTTAGTTGGATTGACGAGGGGCAATCAATGACATTTATATATGAATTCTTCTAGCTTCTCTCCACTACTTCTTCAACAATCAACATGACTCTCCACTATCTTATACTGTAACGTTGTACAAACGTTCTTCGGTCTTATCATAACTTTTCTCCCTTTTTCTTGTTTTGCCTCCCCTTTTCTGTCTTTCTCTCAGTCTATCTCCTGAGCTGTCTTCCATCCAGGTCGTGGCTATTTTCATCAGGGTTGGGGTCAATTCGAATTGAGGGCAGTCAATTCAAGAAGTAAACTGAAATTCCAATTCAATAATTGAAAAATGGCATCTATTTTCAACGACTTCCCAACAAACTGAAAAGTAGAAGCAATTTCTTTCAATTATTATTATTTTTTTGTCACTTCATGAATTGACCGCCTTCAATTCGAATTGATGCCAATCCTGATTTTTATGCTCTGGACTTAATTTCAATGCTCTACACTAATTTACACTGAGTTACTGTGTGTCCCGCCAGTAGAGTATCAACCAACAATCTGGAATACTTTAAAGTGGTGAAAGATGTTTTCCTCTCTGACAGATGACCTGATAATGTTCTTTCTCTCTTTTAAGTCGTTACTTTCCCCTCAAGTCTCTTGTGTATTCAAACAATAGCGAAAACAGGCGGGTGCGTTCCAGCAACATCTATCATCAGTTCGTTTTGAGTGTCTGGCTCTTTTCGCTCTCTCTATTCCCTCGTTACATGTGAGAGAGAGAAAGAGAGAGAGAGAAATAGAGAGAGAGAGATTGAGAGAGCTCAAATGAAACACGAGAGAGAGAAAGCTCAAATGAAACACGAGAAAGAGAGCGAGAAAGAGAGAGAGAGAGATCTCAAACCAAAAACATGTTAAATCCCAATGCTTTTTTGCCTTTATTATGAACAGGGATTACACCTGCTAAGGTGTGAGTGGGGCACAGGGCAATGAACATAAATTGCCTCATTCAAGGCAATTCCTTTGAGGATGCTACAGCAATCACAATCACGTCAGTGCCTTTTGGGCTATAGAATGGATTGGGGTGAACAGGTGTACTGTAGTCAAGTAGAGAATGATTTGGCTGGAATGACCAATTAGCATGGAAAAGGCAGGAGCAGGACTGATGTACTCTGCTGTCCTTTGCTCTATGACACTGAAACAGGGGGGTCAAAGTTCACATGCCCTGATGCACTTCCCTGACCTCTCAACTCTTTGCGTGGTGGCACCTTTCGGGCACCCTTTAACCCCATTAACCTTACCTAGAGGGCAGCTTATCCATCACGCAGATCACAGGTGCTAAGGCTGTTAAAAGTGCCAGTGTGAGATGAGGACATGGTGGATTGAATGGATTTGATCATAGAGGGAAAGAGGGACCAGATCTCATCAAAGCAATGTACAGTAGCATAGCCTGAGTCCTGGAAATGTGGTGGGCATAGTGAAGAACTAATCATACAAAGGAATAGTTATCCTAATTTAGCCTGTTCTTATCTGTAATATATAATAAATGCCATTTAGCAAACACTTATATCCAAAGCCACGTACAGTCATGCATGCATACATTTTACATATGTGTAGTCCCAGGAATCAAACCCACTATCCTGGCGTTGCAAGCGCCATGCACTACTAACTGAGCTACAGAGGACAGTAGTGACAGTGGTCATAGTGAACAGATTAGATGTGCTTTGATGCTTAGGTCTATTTAATGAGATCAATTACAGCTTGGCATTAAGCATTTGTCCTCCTCGGATCTCGATCATTCTCTGAATTGAATCTAGTCAGCTCTCATTTGTTACATGACTTCCTCGTAAAGACAGCAGGAATAGAACCACACATAAAAGTGACACCTTGTGTCTGCGCTCTCCTATTATATCTAGTGTTTTTTTATAGGCCCCAGTCAGAACGTAACGGTGCCGTCTTCCTTCCCACCACTAGGGGGACTAGTGGTCTCAGAGGCAGGATCAGGAGGGAGATGAGGATGGGAGGTGTACAGATGGGAGGATGACTGGAAAAGACAGAAACAATAACGACATATCTGGGCCCGTATCCACAAAGCATCTCAGAGGAGTGCTGATCTAGAATCAGGTCCCACCTGTCCATATAATCTTAACAATTGTTATCTGAAAGGCCCTAGATCAGCACTCCTACTCTCGGACACTTTATGGATACGGGCCCTGGTGTCTGGTTTTGGCTGGATCAGGAGACAGTGGCTGATAGCGGTTATTCTCGTACCAGGGGCGGACTGGCCATTTGGCATTTTTGGCAAATGCCAGATGGGCTGGTCCATTTTTAACCTAGTTGGCTTGTCTTACTTGGGTTTTTTACTCAAAATGGTAATGTTCTGGCTAATAATGGGGCCTTGAGGAAGAAAATGGGCCGGTGTGGGGGCCTCATGGAAGAAAATGGGCTGGTGTGTTAGAAATGCCAGGGCCGATTTCTGGTCCCAGTCCGCCCCTGTCTTGTACCATTGGGTGGAGTAGAACAGAGTGTACAGTAGTAAAGAGTGTAGTGTGTACAGTTGCGTGCAGGAATTGGAAAATGTTATAAAATGTTGAGGGTTTGTTTGTATCAAGCCTATAAGACCTATTGGCATTATGTGAGTGTAGAATACATACGTGATACTTATATATACAGGTACAGTATATTTAAGCAATAAGGCACGAGGGGGTGTGGTATATGGCCAATATACCACGGCTAAGGGCTGTTCTTTTGCACGACACAATGCGGAGTGCCTGGATGCAGCCCTTAGCCGTGGTATATTGGCCATATACCACAAAACCCTGAGGTGCCTTATTGCTATTATAAACTGGTTACCAACGTAATTAGAGCAGTAAAAATACATGTTTTGTCATACCCATGGTATACGGTCTGATATACCACAGCTGTCAGCCAATCAGCATTCAGGGTTCAAACAACCCAGTTTATAATGTTTAATATTCAAAAACCTATTGGTTACTGTTTAATTTCTATGTTAAGAGGTCATGATAGCTAACCACTGTGTAGTACAGTACTCATTTAAGTCGATGCAAATTGTTTCCAGTGCTCTTGAGGACTGTGATGAGCATGGGTGTCTGGTATTTGAACTTTGAATGTGTGTGTCGACTTGATCCATCTATCATGTTCAGCTCTCAGGCCCTCTCCAAGGATTCTGCCTCTAAGGTAGCTGCATGGTTGGAGGCAGTAAAGTTGACTACATTAGATCAAGATAAAATATGGATTGACTGAGTTGGCATACAATAGAATCCTTTTAGATTCCGATTGTATATCCTCACTGAAGGAAGTTGAACAGTATCCAATCCTGTCTCCCCGATGGGTTTGTGAGTGGTCAATAATTTGTGTGCCTCGATATAATGCAAAAGCTTTAGGTTACACTGAAGACAGCGCTATAACCTTGCAACGCTCAACGTAGCTCCTTTCTCTGTGTTTTCTGCTACACAAATCATAAAAGCCTAAATGTTGCCTTGGCTGCCCCTATGTATGATTAGGTTAGCATAAAGTCTTATTAGCCTTGATTACACATATTACTCACGTCTCTAACCTAGTGGCTTCCAATGTTTTACTTTCTGACCCTGCTAAAGCCATTTGACCTGCCTGTGACCAAATAAATAAAAATAAAAAGATGTTAAGCCTTAGCCCAAGAATCACTGAATATGACCCATTATTTGAGAACCACAGCTCTAGCCTCCCTCCCCTCTGTGAGCGTGTGTGTGTTTATTTGATAATTTGTTAATTTGGGTCCCCATAAGCTTTTGCAGAAGCAGCAGCTACTCTTCCTGGGGTCCACAAAAAACACAAAACATGACAAGTTACAAAACACTAATACATTGATAGACAAGGACAGTCACACACATTTTTAATATAACCATATACAAGCAACACAACAAAAATATGATATAAACAATACAATTAAAACATACTGCATATATGTGTGTGTTAGAGTGTGTCTGTGTGTGCGTATGTTTGTGTGTGTGTACATGTGTGTTTACCCTAATCTACAGCCACCCAATGTTTGCAATGTTTTAATTAAACCAGATTACAGTAGCGTATGAATCTGCCTGGGTTTTAGACACCAGATTGCTGTGTCTGTGACAGGACCTGTCGTTGGGTCTCTGTTTGTTGTCAGAGTAGTGAGCTGTAATCCCCCCCATGTTTTATGGTGGGTCACAGCCCTGGGATTTCGGTGTAATTAGTCAGCTCTGGGTTTACACTGGAGATTAAGGAACCATCCTCTTTTGTCTTCCTGTCTCCATTTATTCCTCCATTTATTCTATATTCCACTAAGCTACTCGCAGTATATCCCACATAACAGGGTTGAGTCTCCAATCACACAGGAATGTGCTTACTGCTGTATGTTAGGAAGGGTAATTGAAGGGTAAACCCAAATAATTTGTAGGACATACACTGTTTCTGTAAAGATAACAATAGATGCATATCCCTGGGTTTCTAACATGAACTAACAGGTTTGCCAAAACATTCAGCGTAATCATTTTCCAGCATGTTTGCTAAGTAGTATGTTCTAGGTGGTGCTAGCTGCACCAATGTTGTGGGTTCACATGTACAGTCAATATACTATATAATGACTGTGCAATAAGGTGCTCTTGATAAGAGCGTCTGCTGTATGACTGTAATGCAACATAACGTAGCAGGAGGGACCAATAAAAATCCCCAAATAACTCAATAACACTCAGCAGCAACTTCACCAGTGAATCCCCATTGTTCCTGGTCCTGTGCTATACACTATCACGCTGCCTCTCAGATGTGATTCTTTTTCCGTTATCAGATATTTGCTGGTAATGGCGTCCAGAAGTGGAAGTCAATAGGGCCTGTGATGAGGATCAGATGGGTTGAGCTCAGCCCTCCGCCTTCAGCCCTGAGTCCTGACCCAGTAATAAAGGCCAGGCCCATCTGCTCTCCTTTCTCTCTTCTCCTCTATCAGTCCTGGGAATCTAATCCCTGCTAACACACTACAAGCTTCTGAAAGGCTGCAGGAATGGAAAGGGGTATATACTGAAGAACTGGAGGATCATTGAAATTGATGTATTTTAGAGTCATAAGATTTTAATCCAAGGCAAGACACTTATGCCATGTACTGTAGTTACAGAATAACAACAAGTTAAGATTCCATTTCATAAATAGTATCTGTGCAACATAATGAAAAGTGTGATAGAATAGAGGGATGTTAGTTTCAAGGTTCTAGTTTTATTAGTTGTATGTACGGAATGCACATGGTATACGACGTCCAACGAAATGCTTACTTGCAGGTTCCTTCTCGACAATGCAACAACAATAAGAAATAATAAAATATAAGAATACGAACATAAAGTAAATGTCTCAGTAGAATAGAATAAAACATTTTAGCATAAGTATAATACAGGAAGGAACAATTTATAGTCCACTATTTACACGTGTTTTGGGGAAATGCAGTCTTGCTATGTAACAAGAAGCATCCCTTCCTCTTTATTTTCTTTTTCTACTGTTCAGTGTGTCTCCCATTGCTAATGGTAGTCAGTTTCCCTACTATATAAATTTCTGTGGTATGAGGTGTTGGGTAGCAATGCATCTTCTACACGATTTGTCAATTGTAGTGTTGTTCGTTGTTATGTTTTGGGAGGGTAGGATTGATGGTCTTCATGTTTGTATATGGTTAGTGTGTTTTGTTTGGTGTTTGTTGTTGTGTGTGGTTGTGTGTAGTCTGTGCAGTTGTTCGCTCTGTTATTATAAGGGGTTTTCTTTATGGGTGTTGCTGTTGATGGCTGTGGGTGTGATGTAGGGTGTGTGTGCGTGCTTATGCCGTGTGTGTGATCATGTGTTTGAGGCGTGTGCTGTGTGATGTGATGTTGCTGTGTTGTGTGGCTGGTATGGTTTAGCGTGCTTTGATGGCGTTGGATGTTGTTGGCTGTGATGCAGTGTGGCTGTGTTAGGCGTTGCTTGTGTGGTTGCTGTGTTGGGGTTGTGGCGTGTGACTTGTATGGCGTGTGGTTGTGATGGCTGTGTTGTGGGTGTGGCTGTGTGTGGGCTGTGTGGCTGTGTGATGGTTGGTGGTGTGTGATGTGTGAGCGTGTGGCTGGTGATGGCTGTGCTATGTGATGGCATTGGTGTGTGAGGCGTGTGGCTGTGTGTGGGCAGTTGCTGTGTGATGGTGTGTGGCTGTGTGATGGGCGTGTGGCTGTGTGATGGGCGTGTGGCTGTGATGGGCATGTGGCTGTGTGATGGCTGTGGCTGTGTGATGGGCGTGTGGCTGTGTATGATGTGGCTGTTGATTTGTGTGGGCGTGTGAGCTGTGTGATGGCTGTGCTGGATGGTTGTTGGCTGTGTGATGGGTGTGGCTGTGTGATGGGCGTTGTGGCTGTGTGATGGTGCTGTGTGGCTGTTGATGGCGTGTGGCTGTGTGATGGCTGTGTGGGTGTGTGATGGTTGATGGTGTGCTGTGGTGACGGGTGTGATGGGCTGTGTGGCTTGGTTGATGTGGGTGTTGGCTGTGTGATGTTGTGCTGGTGTATGGCTGGTTGTGATGCCTGTGGCTGTGTATGCGTGTGGCAGTGTGATGGGCTGTGTGATGGGTGTGTGGCTGTGTGACTGTGTGATGGGCTGTGTGGCTGTGTGATGGGCTGTGTGTGCGTGTTGTGGATTGGGTGTGTGGCTGTGTGATGCTTGTTGTGGCTGTGTGATGGGCGTGTGGCTGTGTGATCTGTGGTGTATGGGTGTGGCTGTGGTGTGTATGGGCTGTGTGGCTGTGTGATGGGCGTGTGGCTGTGTGATGGGCTGTGTGGCTGTGTGATGGGCGTGTGGCTGTGTGATGGGCTGTGTGTGTGCTGTGGTGGTGGGCTGTGGCTGTGTGTGGCGTGTGGCTGTGTGATGGGCGTGTGGCTTGTGTGCTGGGCTTGATGGCGTGTGGCTGTGTGATTGGCGTGTGGCTGTGTGTGGTGCGGTGTGTGTGATGGCTGTGGCTGTGTGATGGGCGTGTGTGGCTGTG